TCTTATCTCTAATTGACCACCAGAAAACTGGAAGTGGTGTGTGGTTCAAAGTAGTATAGCACTAGCCTTGAGCAAAAGCACTCAGGGACAGAGCCTAGGCCCTGAGTTCAAGCCCCATGACAGACAAAAAAAAAAAAAACCCACCCTATCTATCTCTCATTTTGGACCAACTCTCATGCTAAGCACTGTGGGGAATACAAAAACATGAATTTTGCCTGAAGTAATCATGTGACTGTGTGTGTGTGTGTGTGTGTGTGTGTGTGTGTGTTCACCAGGTATTACATTAAAAAAGTTTACCTCCTATCGTCACTCAAAGGCTTTATAATCTAGAAACATAAATGAAGGCTATAAAGAGGTCTCTCTAGAAACATAGTCGCTGATGTTTCATCTAGATCTTAAAGCAGAGGAAGCTGAATCAAATAGACCAAGGTGGAGGCCGCCAAAGGCATTAGAAACATCAAGAACAAAGATTTGATGTAAAGGACTCTGCACAGTAAACTTGAGAACTCAGGAGGGCCTTGGGATGACTCAAGATAGAACAAAAGTGCCAAGTTGAAATCACTTGGTCCTACTCCAGGATGGATGAAATTAGCAAGGCAGGCCTATAAGAACCTCAGGGAGCTTTGAAGTCAGCACGTGCTATGGTGTGTGATAGCATGGCTCCCATTCTCTCTGAGTTTTGCATATCTTTTGTCTCATTGGAGGTAAGTTTCATTTCCCCAACCCTTACAGAGTAAAGCCTGCGTAGCTCTGAGTCCATAGAGTATGTCTGTCATGTCCAGTACAGAAGATGATGATTCAAGTTGCTGAGTAGGACACTGAGATTCTAAAATTTCCAGGAGGCTCCTGATGGCCGTAAGAGCTTTCTCCACCCACTCCAGCTCCCACAGCGGCCTTGCTCACCCTGTGATGCTGCATAGTATAAATGGAGGGGAAATTTCCTGTGACTAGGAGCCTCTAGATTTGGGGACTGCATGTAATTGCCCCCAGAGTAACCTGCCACATGGATCCCATGGAGGTATGCAGGAGAAGAAACTAGCTAGAGGCCCACCATTGCCCACAGATTCATGGAAGTCACCAGAGGAAGAGCTGTGAGCCTACAGCTGCAGTGAAGGAGCCTACAGATATGATGGCAAGAAGTCACATGTGTTCACATGACTGAGATTCTTTTTTCTGATCAGTCGTGGAGCTTGAACTCTGGGCCTGGGCGCTGTCCCTCAGCTCTTCAGCTCAAGACTAGCACTCTACCACTTGAGCCACAGTGCCACTTCTGGTTTTCTGGTGGTTTATTGGAGATAAGAGTCTCCTGGACTTTCCTGACTGGGCTGGCTTTGAACTGTGATTCTCAGATCTCAGCCTCCTGAGTAGCTAGGATTACAGGCATGAGCCACCCACACCTGGCATGCCTGAGATGCTTAAGGTATCTAAGAGTCTAATTGGTTCAGAGGTGTTCTTGAAAGAAAAAGACAACTAAAAGGAGATGTGAAACAAAACCAAGCAGAAATATTGAACAACGAGCAATAGGCAACCTGGAGAATAGAGCTGATCAAAAATACTAGTCACTAGTCAATAACAGCTCTAGGTAGAGCATGAACTTTGGAAAGAAGCCACTTGTGTGAATCTGAAGATTCATTCAGTTGCTTTCATTCACTCACAACAGTAGAAAGCACAGAACACACACAATAAAAACCCTCTTGCCCTAATAGGGCTTAAACTGAAATAGAGGAAAGCAGACACACATGTTTAGACACTACCTGTCTGAAAAATGGACATGATGTTACTTTCATTTTAAGGGGTTAAAAACTCATATAAGATGTATCAAAAGTAATGACCACTTTATTTTTTTCAAACTCCTTATCTAGTATTAGACTCAACCATAGATATAGCTCTGTGTCCTTTCTATGAAAACAATGGATCCCCCCTTTTTTCTCATTGTTTTCTACCTTAAGATCTAAAACACCAATTCTTTTGATCCGAATCTATTTTCTATATCACAAATTATGCTTAATTAACACCACAGGTGAACACAGTAAGACACAGGAAAGTTGAGGGTGTATTTTGGGGAGAGGGTGAAAAATGGGGAGTTATTTCTGACCTCAAAGTTTTATTCATATATGAATTACCTAAATATCTTTGAGAATGTAGGTTGTGAATCAATGGATTGTGTCACTTGAAATTCTGATTTTCCTCTTAAAAAAATCTGTATACCCATCACTGTTATTGTATTTTAGACTCAAGGCCTCATGCTTGCTAGGCAGGAGCTCTAAATCTCGAGCTATTACCTCAGCCCTTTTCACTTTTGTAATGTTTTAAAATAGAGTCCTGCTTTAATTTTCCCTGGGCAGGCTTGGACCATGGTCCCTCTATTCATGCTTAGCATGTATCTGGGTTAACAGGTGCATGCCAACACACTCAGCTTTACATGGATTAAGATACAGTCCCATGAACTTTTTAACCTAGACCGGCCTTGAACCAGGACTCTCTAGATCTTAGCCTGCCCAGATTCCGATTTCTACCAAGTTCCTTGTGATGCTAAAGCTGCTGGTCCCGAGGATGCCAAGGCAACGTTCTAGAAGCAGAGGAAGTGAGCATAACTTCAAGGAGCTAATAGCTGTGCTTGGTTTTTACCTCTTTAGTATTGAGCTCAGAGCAGCATCTCTAACCAGGGGCCACTGTAGCACATTGTTTTCTCATCTCCATCCATTTTCCCTTTTGCAACTGAAGAATCTGACTTTGGACTATGTGATCACCATGAGAGCTCCATCACCCCCACTCCCGCCCCCACCCACACTCAACGAAACATTTCTCATGCATTATCAGCTACCTCTGGCTTGTTGACGTAGCCTGGTTATCCTGAATTGCAGCAGGGAAGACTCCAGCACAGAGAGGGTAGGTCACACAGGAAAACATAGACACGATTCAAATTCCAGCATCTACTCAGGGCACTGTATCTCTTTTGTTCAACTAAATATGTTTATAGATGCTAGATGCCATTTGGGGTTGAAAGGTAAAGGAGCCTGTTGGGTTCTACATACAATAAATACCCTTGAGAAAACTAGAGACATTGAATACAGTCTACATATATGACGATGTGGAATTAATACTAACATCCTTAAAAACAAAAACACAAACAGAAATGCTACCACTTTTGCTCTCCATCCCTGCAGCCCTTTTGACTTTAATTTGGTTAAGTAATCCTCATGCTTCTGCCCTGGCTAGCCTCAGACCATGATCCTTCTATCTCTGCCTCCCTCATCTCTCGGTTATAAGTGAAGACACCAAATTTGTGACATTGTTTCTGCTTTCCTGTGTTTACATCACATTACTTTCCTGCTCAGTCTGCATCAGAGATGACCTGCAGTTGACTGTTGCCTCCTATTCCAAAACTGATCAAGCAACAAATCTGACCTTCCACCCAAACCTCAAGGATTCAAGAAAAGACAACTAAAATAAGTCAACAAGAAAAGGAGCATTCAACATTAGGACAGAGATTTCTGCTCTTGTTGGATTTGCAAGAATCTACCAATTTGTAAAAAAAAAAAATATCATAAGCCTCTCAGAACTTGTAGACACAGAGAGTACATGAACTGTCAATGGATCAGTATAAATAGATCATGGATGGCAGAAATTTCATAAGAATCCTTGCCTACCAGTGAAAAGAAGCTACAATGCACCACACAGCAACATCTACAGTCTAGGCACAAGTTCTTCGGTGTGTCTACATTTTAATAGTTGATACATTTCCCTTTTTATTATTCTAAGAAGAGACCCTAATTCAGTGCAGCAACCCCCCAAAGTGCATGGACAATAGTGGATGTTCCCTAGGTAACTTTAAGGAGTCACCTGACTCCTTCACAAAGTCTGATACAATTCACTTGGGATTGGCTAGGTATGTGGATGTACCTTGGTCGGTCACTGAGATTCTTTCCAGTCTCCAATCTTCACTCAGGGTTTTTACCTGCTTACCTAGCTGCATAGATCTAAGCTCCTAGTAGACAGCAAGCAAGTGTTTCTCACCCATCAGTGACCAAATGGAGAGCTCAGACTTGGTGTTTAATAATGAACCACTGTAGCTGTCAGCAAGAGAGATCTGAACCTGAGGTGGTAGGTGAACTTGAATGAGAAGCAATGACATCTAATTTTTCTCTTATCTCTCCCGGACACGCAGCGTTTCCTTCCGTTGTAACACACAGGAGCCCCGGCAGTCTCGACTCAAGTTTGCATCCACTGGTATTTTCTGGCGCTTTGCAGTTTCTTTCACCTGGTATCTCGAAATATCTACTTCCATTCCCTTCCTGTGACTATGGCGCCTGCGTAATAGCTCTGTCATCAGCTCTTGTCTGATGCAAACTGATGATGTGCCACCGTTCCTACCTCCTGATTCCAGAACTGTTCCCTGACCATTACCTTCCGGCAGCAAAATCGATTTCAATGTCACTTGGGTGCGTTTAGCGTGGATTCTGGAAGTCATGGAACAATCACACTCGAATTAGTGTATCTAGGAAAGGGTAGAAGCCAGGGCTCAAAGATGCAGCCCACACCAGCCAGGTGTGGAGTCCTTCCATCCCAGGCTTCCAAGGCCTCGGGAGCCCTTTGAGAAGAGGGACACGCCGGACCCCAGCTGGGTCTTGTTTCCCCTCTTCCTCCATTTCCGCAGATAAGGTTCAGCCTGAAAAGCCAGCTGGGCGCGCGCAGCGAGAATAGGATGCGCTTTCTCTTTCCCCTCAAATGCTCTTGGCCTTGGGGAAGGCCTCGACTGCCAGGCTGGTAACTCGAGCCTGCCAACGAATCCACACTCACCGCGCCGGGTTCAAGCCCTGTCGGCCCGGCCTGCGAGGCAGCCCAGCTCTCCTCTGGTGACCCCCGCCCCAGCCACCACTTGCTCGGCCACCCCCACACAGGTGCCACGTTCCCCCAGTGCCGCCCCCCACCCTCCCGGCTGGCCCAGGCAAGGAGGGGGGGCTCAGACCCCATCCCCGGGGTCGCCTGCCCGGGGTGGGATGGGGAGGGGACCCGCTTTACCGGTGGGGACCCGCACGACTCTCGCCTGCGCCCAGCCAGATCCACCGGCTGGTTCTTCACCCCGCTCTGACGGCCAAGTTAGTCCCAGGGCTGCAAGTCGGAGGCTGGGCTGGAGCGGGGCGGGGAGGGGGGGGGGAGGGAAGCGGCGGCCAGACCAGGACGCAGCGCCCCGGGAGCTGGGAGCGAGAGAGCCCGGCCGGAGTGCCGCCGCCCCGGCACGCCTCCCGCTTAATCTGGGCAGGGCGGCTGGCCACGCCCTCTCTACCCCGAGCCTCCACCTCCCCAGCCGCACACCCTCCCTAAATTCCTCCCCACCCCATCCCTTCCCCCCCCCGTCCCTCCGAACCCCAGGACCTCCGCCGCATCACCCCCTTCACCCTCACTCTGGAGCCTCGCCCACCTGCATGCCCCGCAGGCGCCCAGCCCTTTCTCTCTGCCTGGGCACCATGCCCAGGGCAAGGGACAGCGCCTGGTGAGTCGGGAGGGGGGAGGGAGGGAGGGGAGAGGGAGGGCGGGATCTGAGCCACTTCTCCCTCCCTGGGAGCAACAACCCCAAGCCTGGGTGAGGTGGGACGGACAGACGGACGGCACCGCGGAATCCTACAAAACCCTGAGCGCCCGGGATCCCCGCCCAGCGCCGCGCAGGGGCGCCGGGGACGCGGACACCCGACGGCCTGAGGTCCCGGGACCGTCACCCACCAT